TTCTTCCATGGCTTTTATGCTTTCTGTGCTTTTAGCTTTTATGTTTAAATTTTTTGGCCCACTTATCCTGGTGTAAGATTCAATTCTGATTTTATTTTTTAGATGATTATCCACTTGTTCAAACAATATTTATTGAATGTTTCTTCTTTTATGTAATGTTTTTATGGTAGTAACCACATGTAAAATATTAATTTCAGAAAAAAAGTGAAGTTTAATTAAGATTGTCAGTGAAGATATGCTTGGCTGAGCCTCCTTCTCTTCTCTTCCCTTCTTTTCTTCTCTTCCCTTTTCTGAGTTGTGGGACTTCCCAAGTCAATATTTCTATAAAGCCTATCAACATAGTTTAATTGAAATGTAGTGAGATTAGTCTCATCTTTTTTTTTTTTTTAATTGTGATTTGGATAAAAATTTACAGAACAAATTCACTTTCCATACAGCAGTTCACTTACACTTTGTCTCATGACATTGACTACAATTTACCTCAATGCAACAGCTCCCCTCCTACTTCCTCCCAGTAGTTACCTGTTCTCTGTATCCATCCCTCCCTGCATTCCTGCCCCCTGAGCTGTCTTCCTGTGCATACATAGCCCTTCTTTCTCTCATGATTGTTCTCTCCAATGATTGTATCTACCTCAGGTACATGTTCAACTGAGATTAGTATTCTTTGGGCATAGATGTCTCCCAAATTTATTGAATAGTTTCACAATTTCTAATTTTATTTTACATATTTATGTTGTGTAGTGCATTGCTTTTCAGACACTCTAGGTAAAGCTGATATGAACTGGTAGCAGGAAATAGATAATTGACCACTACAAGATGTTCATTTAAGCAAGAACACTAGGCAAGAAGAAGAACAAAATTTTAGCACCAGTCCTGGCATTAATAATTTGACCTTCACTAAGTAACCTCTTTGACCATCTGTTTCCTCAGTTTTGTAATTGCTTGGTGTGGTGGTTAAGTTTGTGGGTCAACTTGGCTGGGCAGCTGAATGTAGTTATTCTCCATGGTGAGACTGGTAATTAACTCCAGGGTGGAATCTATTGGAGCAGCTAAGTAACTGCTTTGGGTATGTGGTCTGCTTCCTGTATATAGAAACAGCTTTGGGAATGGTCTCCAGCCTATGGCATGCTTGGACTCTGCATGTAGCCATGTCGTTTTTCGGCAGCCTGCCTTGCTCTGCCAACCTTGGGACTTTCAATGGACTTGAGTTAATGGCCTGCCATGTGGTTTGATAACATCAGGATTGTGCCATTTTCCTTGTCGACCTTGGCTTTGTTAGTCTCAGCAGCCAGTAGCTGCTTGAGTGAAGAGATGCCTCTAGCTTCAATGCACTGGGAGCAAGAGGCAGAGCTGAAGCCCAAGGTCAAGGGGCTTTCACACAGCCCTTAGAGCCTGACACTTGGAACTTGGACTTCTAGCCTCCAAAACTTTAAGAGAATAAACTCCTATTTGTTCAAGCCATCCCATCTGGGTATATTTCTGTCAGAGAGGTACTAGGTAGCCAAAACACTTGGTATTAGTAAAGGACTGCAAGTCCTCTCCCAGCTTTAGTATTCTATTTGATTCTGGCACAAGCCCTGTTTTCTCATAAGGACATTGTGAAGGCTGAACAAGAAAATACACATGAATACAAACTTTAAGGTATAAAACACTGCACAGTGGATGCTAAAGGATACAGGGATAAATCTTACATATATCCTCATAAATTACCTTTTTAGAGTAAGTATATAATGAACAACAACAACAACAATATAATGATTAATAATAAATAATGTCTAGGTTCAATAAAGGAGGAAAAGGAAAAGAAATTATGTTAAACTCAAAAGGGTGCCATCATTAACACAATCAGTTAAGAGTTGCTGTAAATACCAGGTTCATGATATTGTACCTTCATAGTTGATGCAGCCATTGGAGTCTTCCTGACCTGCCATCAGAGCTTCTACTTCCTCCTCTTTCATCCTTTCACCTGATGAAACAAAATTCTTTTCATAAAGAAACCAAAGGATACTTTCAACATTCCACCTTATGTGATCAGTCATGGACTCCTTCAACACATGTATACACTAAGCTCTTCAGGTTAGATAGCATGCCCTTCCTATTTTTCCCTGCACTTAGTAGGTTGTCAATAAATTGTTTTTAAATGCATGAATTAGATATATGCACATTATTCCTGATCATCTAAAATACATCCTTTAAAAACTTGCAATGCTTTATTTTTTTCACTATCAGTATTTTAATTTTCCATTTCTGAAGAACAAACTCATTGTCAGTGAGACTAATTGAAATTATTTTTACCTTTTGACTATTCTTTTTTATTTTTCTATTGTAGTTATTTCCCTACCCATTAGGATTATAGCGTATTTAAGTTATACCCTTTTAATATATTCTGTCCTTTATTAAGTATATTTAAATTCTCCTTACCCAGGGTGGCTAAAACATGGCGAAGTTCAGCACCCATGACTGTGCCATTGCCTTCCTTGTCAAAGACACGCAGACCCTCAACAAAGTCTTCATAGGTGCCCTGGTCCTTGTTGTTGGAAATAGCTTGTAGCATAGGCAGAAATTGTTCAAACTCAATTTTCTTGGCATTCATCTCTGAAAGAATCATAATTTGGAGAGTTATTAGCTACCACGAAATATCATCTCTGAGTCACAAATTAAATTTGAAAATTTGTCCTAGATGAGCTGAAAACCCTTTATACAGCTTGTATTGTAGTTGTTAAATTGCTAAGATGACAAAATGATGGTAATAGATAATACGTGGGCTCCAGGGTCTCAGTGCCTGAACTTTCATCCCAAATCCACCATTTACATTTACAGTGAAAAGTTTCTTAACTTCTTTGTGCCTTAATTTCTTCAAATGTAAAATAGAGATACTTCATAGTGTTACTGTGAAAATGAAGAGAGGTAATACATGTGAAGCTTATTACAATACCAGGGTCATACTGAGTGCTTAGTAAATGTAAGCTGATATTTCGTTAGTGTTGTTAATTTAATATTTTCCATAAAAAATGACTATCTCTCATCTGTCAATCTATTGTACCGTGATGGCTTGCATGTTGCAGTGATGCTGGAAGCTATAGCACTGGCATTTCATATACCAGCAGGGTCACCCTGCTGGACAGGTTTCAGGGGAGGTTACAGACTAAGACAGACTAGAAAGAAAGAAGTGACCAAATCCACTTCTGAAAATAATTGGCCACTGGAAACGTTGTGAATAGCAGGGAAACATTGTCTGATATAATGCTGGAAGATGAGCCACTAAGGTCAGAAGGCACTCAAAATACAACTGGAGAAGAACTGCCTCCTCAAAGTAGAGGTGAAATTAATCACATGGAGCCAGTAAAGCTTTTGGGACCTTCATTTGCTATGTGGCATGAATCAAAATGAGAAGAAACTACTGCAAATGTCCATTAATAATCGGAATGTGGAATGTACAGAGAATGAATCTAGGAAAATTGGTAGTTGTCAAAATGAAATGGAACACATAAAGATTTATTTCCTAGGCATTAGTGAGCTGAAATGGACTGGTATTGGCCATTTTGAATCAATCATATGGTCTACTATGCCAGGAATAACAAATTAAAGAAGAGTGAGGTTGCATTCATCATCAAAAAGAACATTTCAAGATCATTGTACTTCAAGATCTGAAGTACAATGCTAATGCTGTCCTATATATAGGATAATATCCATACACATCAACCTCAAAAACCAAAAATGAAGAAATTAAAGATTTTTACCCACTTCGGTAGTCTGAATTGACCAAGTATGCACTCAAGATATATTGATAATTACTAGTGACTGGAATATGAAAGCTGGAAATAAAGAAGAAGCATTAGTAGTTGGAAAATATGGCCTTGGATATAGAAATGATACCAGAGATTGCATGATAGTAAGACCAGTAATGTATTCATTACAAATGCCTTTGCACCAACATAAATGGTGACTATACATGTGGACCTCACCAGATGGAACACAGAGGAATCACATTGACTAAATCTGTGGAAACAGACAATGGGGAAGCTCAATATTATCAGTCAAAACAAGGCCAAGGGGCTAACTCTGGAACAGACCATCAATTGCTCATATGCAAGTTCAAGCTGAAGCTGAAGAAAATTAAAGAAAGTCCACAAGAGACAAAATACGACCTTAAGTACATCCCATCTGAATTTAGAGACCATCTGAAGAATAGATTTGTTGCACTGAACACAAGTGACTGAGGACTGGACAAGTTGTGGGATGACATCAAGGACATCATAAAATGAAGAAAACAAAAGGTCATTAAAAAGACAGGAAAGGAAGAGAAGTGCAAAATGGATGTCAGAAGAGATGCTGAAACTTGCTCTGGAAGGGAGACTAGCTAAAGCCAGTGGAAGAAATGATGAAGTAAAAGATCTAAACAGATTTCAAAGGGGAGCTGGAGAGGACAAAGTAAAGTATAATGAAATGTGCAAACAGTTGGAGTTGGAAAATCAAAGGGGAAGAATGTGTTCAGCGTTTGCCAAGTTGAAAGAACTGAAGGGAAAATTCAAGCCTCAAGTTGTGATATTGAAAGATTCTATGGGCAAAATATCAAACAATGCAGGAAGCACCAAAAGGAGATGGAATGAATACACAGAGTCATTGCGCCAAAAATAATTGGTCAACATTCAGCCATTTCGGGAGGTAGCGTATGATCAAGAACTGACGGCATTGAAGGAAGAAGTCCAAGCTGTACTGAAGGAATTGTTGAAAAACAAGGTTCCAGGAATTGATGGAATACCCATTGAGAGGTTTCAACAAACAGATGTAGGGCTGGAGGTGCTCACTTGTTTATGCCAAGAAATTTGGAAGGCAGCTACCTGGTCAACTGACTGAAAGAAACCTATATTTGTGCCCATTCCAAAGAAAGGTGGTCCAACAGAATGCATAAATAATTGGACAATATCAATATCATATGCAAGTAAAATTTTGTTGAGGATGCTTCAATATGGTTGAAGCAGTACAAAGACAAGGAACTGCCAGGAACTCAAGCTGGATTCAGAAGAGGATGTGGAATGAGGGATGTCATTGCTGATGTCAGATAGATCTTGGCTGAAAGTAAAGAATACCAGAAACATATTTGCCTGTGTTTTCTTGACTATGCAAAGGCATTTGACTGTGTTGAACATAACAAATTCTGGATAACACTGAGAAGAATGGAAATTCCAGAACACTTATAATTTTGCTCATGAGGAACCTATACACAGACCAAACAGGTAGTCATTCAAACAGAACAAGGGGATACTCTGTGGATTAAAACCAGGAAATGTGTTTATCAGGGTTATATCCTATCACCATACTTCTTATTTGGTCTGTATGCTGAGCAAGTAATCTGAGAAGCTGGAGGAAGACTCATTAACAACTTGTTGTATGCAGATGATACAATCTTGCTTGGTGAAAGTGAAGAAGACTTGAAACACTTACTGATGAAGATCAAAGACTACATACAGCCTTCAGTATGGATTACACATCCACACAGAAAAAACAAAATTTCTCACAACTGGACCAATAAGAAAAATCATGGCAAATGGAGAAAAGATTGACATTGTCAAGGATTTCATTTTACTTGGATCCATAATCAACATCTTTGGAAGAAGCAGTCAGTAAATCAAGTGATGTAATGTGTTGGGCAAATCAGCTGCCAAAGATCTCTTTAAAGTGTTTAAGAACAAAGATATCACTTTGAAGACTAAGGTGTGCCTGATCCAAGCCATGATCTTTTCTATAGCCTCATATGTGTTTGAGAGCTGGACAATGAATAAGGAAGACCACAGAAGAACTGATGCATTTAAATTGTGTTGGGGAAGAATATTGAATGTACCATGAACTGCTAGAAGAATGAACAGATCTGTCTTGGAGGAAGTACAGCCAGTATGCTCCTTAGGAGTGAAGATAGCCAGACTTCGTCTCATCTGTGTTGGTCATGTTGTCAGAAAGGACGAGTCCCTGGAGAAGGATATCATGCTGGGTAAAGTAGAGGGTCAGCAAGAAAGGGGAAGACTTTCAACTAGATGGATTGACACATGGCTGTGACGATGGGCAAAAGCACAGTGATGATTTTGAGAATGGTACAGGACCCAGCTGTGTTTTGTTCTGTTGTGTATAGGTTGCTATGAGTGGAAACAACAGTATAAATACACAGAAAGCTATAAAAATGTACTGAGATATGACAAAACCATTAGCATATAAATATGGTAAAATTTAAATATACATCATTTAATATACCACCTTTGTCCTGAGATCTTGTAGGGCCTTCAAATTACATTTTAAGTAATTTTTAAAAGAAGCTATGAGGAAAACATGTGTGATAAATACTCTGTCAAATAGTGCCTAAGGCACTTGATGCTAGCCAGAAGTCTGTCGGTTCAAACCTACCAGCCACTCCTCGGAATGAAGGTTGGGCAATCTACTTCCATAGTGATACTGTCTCGGAAACCCAAGGAGGGGTTGCTATGAGTTGGGTCCGACTCCATGGCACATAACAATAGCAAAAATCTGACTTTCTTGGAGTTCAGAAGCCAGGAGATGATAGGGCTTTCTTTGGTATCTTCTGACAAAATAAACTCATTTACAGAAAAATTATAAAATAGACTATCCTGGTGTATATAAATGCCCTCATATCACAACTCCCTTTTCCTAGTCTTCTCAGACTAGAAATCTAGTATTGTGAGTAATATTAAAAGAGATTGAGTTTGAAGCAGAATAAATCTGAACATTTATTAAAAATTCCGTTGATTTGTTTGATAACTTGGAAAATGGCATTTACATATAAAGTTTAGCCTGGTGCTCCTTCACTTAATCTCATGCTCTCAGCTACTCTCTGCACATTTTAATGGGGAGTTTTCCTTCAAAGAGAATAAAGTCAAAGGAATATTCCCAACAGACTGATTTAGAGGTAGTTTTTCTTCAAATCAAGTGTTTTTTTTTTTTTTTTTTAAAGAATGAATATTTCCAAAACTTTTTTGGTTATCAATGAAAAAATATTCACCCCTCCTTTTTTTCCTGCAGGAAAAGGTAAAAAGCGCAACTGTCTCCTTGATCAAACTTTACTTTTCTCTTGTCTTTTTTACTCTGTGTGGCATCTTATATTTTGCCATGAGCCACTGGGATTAAACAAACACACAAACATTTCTTTGTTCTATGACATGATTTATGTATTGAGCAGATGACTTTTGGAATTTTGCCTCTTAGATATCTTACTGATTTTTTTTGTCCCAGGATTTACCAGAGGAACTGAAGGAAAGTTTAGGTGAGATTTTTGAGTTTTTCTGTAATTCTTTAGAAATAGAAAATACTCTTATTAAGATGACATTCTGCTTATTCTTAATTATAATAGCTAAGTTTCTTTTAAGGAGTTCTGGTGGGGAAGTGGTTAAAACATTTGGCTGCTAACCAAAAGGTTGGTGGTTTGAATCCACCAGCTGCTTTGTAGGAGAAAGATGTGGCAGTCTTCTTCTGTAAAAATTCACAGCTTTAGAAGCCCTGTGGGGCAGTTCTACTCTGTTCTATAGGGTCACTATGATTTGGAATTGACTTGATAGCAGTTGGTCTGATTTTGGTTTGGCAGTTTCTTTTAATATTGCTATAGAAGTCAAAAGACAGAACACTGGACAAAATCAGGAGGTGTTTTAAGTAAAAACCACTGTGATTTCATTCCCACAGCTTAAAAGTATAGGTGGTCTCTAGAATGGTGCCATTTTAATTTACTCAGAGCTGTTTACAAAATTCATTGTGTGTTAGCCATTTAACATCTTTGTCAAAATGTACTTATGTCCATGTAAATTTAAAGTCTAAGAAATGATTTGGATTTGGGTATAATTTCATTTCATTAGCCTTTAAATTATGAGCATTAGAGATGATGATGATGATAATGATGATATTAGCATTAGGTATTCCCCTTCATTGTTGTTGTTGTTGTTGTTATGTGCTGGCGAGTCGGACCGACTCATAGCGACCTCTCCTTGGGTTTCTGAGGCAGTATCACTACGGAAGTAGATTGCCCAACCTTCCTTCTGAGGAGTGGCTGATGGGTTTGAGCCGCCAGCCTTCTGGTTAGCAGTCAAGTGCCTTAGCCACTATGCTACTAGAGCTCCCTTTTTATCTTGCAAATTCTCAAAGGAAAGGGACTTTATTTTATGAGGGGAAAAGCTGAGATTTTTTGATGGCCAAGGGGCACACTCAGCGCCATCACAAACAAATTAAGCCTTATTATGTGAAACTTATTAGTAAACACACACATACACACTCCTCCTTCCATAATTCTCAGAGAATCTGATGTGTTACCTTCATTGCTGGGATTTCCCAGGACCTTCTTGACCTCTGCATTGGTGGGATTTGTGCCCAGAGCCCGTAGTACATCACCAACCTGGCTTAAAGTGATCTTGCTTTCGCCTGTCCTGTCGAACAGGAGAAATGCCTCCTTGAACTCTGTAAAAAAATAAGGAGCATTAGGGTGCTTTTCTCAACCTCAGACCTATTAATGAACACAGATCCCATCAAGGATGCAGTCCAAACTCTTCTCTATTCTCATACCTTTTACCAAGCACTCAACTTGTTATTCTTTGGACTCTCCCTTGTTCTGGCCTCACACAATCATAGGCAAACCTTTCAGTCATTTCCTATTGGGATTATTTTAAAGCAGAATTTCCAATTTCAAGTCATATGCTGTTATTAATCATGTATGGTAATTAGGGCTCCTAGTTATATTTATTCATATTTTCTTCAAATCCTAAAATCTCTCATACGGTTAACAAAATTAATAAAATACCCCAAAACAAATTTTCAATCAGGGTTGTGTTGAATAAGCTTAACCAAATTTATATATATATAAAACTACCTCCTCTTGATGTACAAATTTATTAAGCTCTCCTTGTAGGTAGTTTTCTCCAGGAATAATTTCACCTTTCATGAAAAATGTATAAGGGAGAGACAAACATCCAAGTTGCATAATGTCCTTTAACCACATCTGTGTATGCCTCCAGTAGGCTCCCAGTATAAATGATCCAGAAGGAGAACTGTTTGTCTGCATTTATTGATATGGACATCTCTTTAAATATTACTCTTTTTTTCACATAATACATATGACACTGTTGTCATATCAGTTTCAGAATTTAAGTATACATTTTTCAATGAAAATTTTTATGGAGGTAATTGTAGATCCATATGCAGTTGTAAAAATTGATACAGAGAGATCCCTTGTACACTCCTGCCTTTTCCCACCAATGGTGACATTTTGCAAAATTATAATATAATATCACAACCAGGATATTGACATTGCCACAATCCACCAGTCCTACTTAGATTTCTCCAGTTTCACTTCTACTTATTTGAGGGTGTGTGTATATTAAGGGCATATTTTAAAGTGTTGCCTATTATTATCATAATCATTTTATTGGTTATTATTCCTAAATTTCAAGGAGCCCTGGTAGTACATGACTGAGGTATCTGACTGCTAATCAGAAGGCTGGTGGTTCAAACCCACCAGCCACTCTGCAGATGCAATACTGAACAATCTACTTCCATAAAGATTTACCACCTCAGAAACCCAGTGAGGGTCACTATGAATTGGAATTGACTCAATAGCAGTGGCAGTAGATTTTTTTTGTTGTTGTTTATTACTAAATTTCATAATTATTTTTCAATAGAACTGGACTCACATTTTAGAATTACAATGACAGAATTTAGAACTGTACACCAAAAGTTTAGGAACTAGTGCTCTCTATGGGTTGAAGAGTCAGTAAGGTCATTCAGTTGAACTTCAATATCACTAAGTAAAATTTTCCTAGGAAACCAAAAATATTAATAACAACTTGTTGTAGATAACACCAACACTGAAAAAGCCATCTGTGAATGATCTGGTCAAGTTGAAAGCATTCTTTATAGGCTGTAAGTGATCTCAGATCAAAAGAAGCTATCTAGATAGATTACTCATCAAAATGAGTAATCGAATAAAAAATCCTATCTTACTATCCCTCCATCCTAATTGAAAATTCTATCAGACACTGTATTTACGTATTTATGATCAGCTACAGATCATGTTACCATACTTTGCTAAAACTTTCTCCTCAAATACAAATTTATTATTTTAATTCAAATTCTATACAGTTTGGCTATACAAGATCACTTCCCTAATCTAAAAAAAAAAAAAAAACATGCTGAGGCACTTTGGAGTCATTAGTTAAATGCTATTTTTCATCTTTTTAAAGGACATGTGAAACTGAACTATTCTTGTTACTGGCTCTAGGCTTACATGCACCAATTGCTAAGAGGGCTCACTGTTACCTTGGGCAGATGCTGATGTAGAAATAGGATTTTATAGGCTATAATAGAATCACTCTGACATTAACTGTTTCATTGCTTTAAAGGCAGAAACCTGAAAGATACTGTTCTTCCTACTCCAGATTTTTAATCCACTCAGTGGTATTGTAGAAGAAAAGTCCTGTCCATTTGCTTCCATAAAGATTACAGCCAAGAAAATTCTATGGACCATTCTACTCTGTAACACATGGGGTCACCATGGAATTGACTCAGTGGGCACTAACAACAACCCCAGCTTTAAAACTAGACTGTTATTCTCTTAAAGAGTCTAGGACATGGGCTGGCAAACTATGGCCCAAGGTTTGACTGCCTATTTTTTTTGTAAATAAAATTTTACTGAAATAACCATGCCCGTTCCTTTATAAGAGAGCTCTGGTGGTGTAGTGCCTAAGGCATTTCACTGCAGACCAGAAGGCTGGTGGTTCAAACCCACCAGCCACTCCTCAGAAGGAAGGTTGGGCAATCTACTTCCGTAGTGATACCACTTCGGAAACCCAAGGAGGGGTTGCTATGAGTTGGATCCTAATCCATAGCACTGAGTTTGGTTTTTTTGGTTATTCCTTTATAAATTATCTATGGTTTTTCTCATACCACACAATAGAGTTGACTTGTTGTGACAGAGCTTATATTGCCAAACAAAGTATAAGATATTTACTATTTGGCCTTTAAGAAAAAGTCTGCTAACTCCTGGTCTAAAACTTTGCAACTATGCTAGAACTTTCTGTGATAATGGAAATGTTTTATATCAGTGCTGCCCAAAAAGCTACTAGCCCTGTGGCTCTTGAGTAATTAAATGTGACTAGTGCAACTGAGAGGAGCTCTCATAGCATAGTGCTTAAGGCACTTGACTGCTAACCAGAAGGTTGGTGGTTCAAACCCACCAGCCACTCCTTGGAAGGCAGGTTGGGCAATCTACTTCCGTAGTGATACCACTTCAGAAACCAAAGGAGGGGGTCTCTGTGAGTCAGATCTGACTTGAGGGCATATACTAACAACAGTGTAACTAAGAGAATGAATTTTTTAAAATTTATTTAGTTTTAATTAATTAAAAATTTAAAAGCCACAGGTGACTAGTGCCTAATCTATTGAATAGCACAGGACCTAGACTTTTAGAATGCTATAATTTTCTAGTTACTTTTTTTTCCCCTTTTCTCCAATCCTGTGATACATTCAAATAAAGTCACTATGACACTGTTGTTATTGAAAAAGCAAGCAAATAATAGAAGTCTTCATTTCTGAAAATATAGAGTTTCAATTTAAATTAAAATGTTTATGTTTATCTTCCTGGCACAAGAGTAAACCAGTTCACCACATCAATATTTAACAAACTTCTATATCCAAAACATATTCACATATGGAGTAATAGTTTAATGACCAACAGTAACTCTTCTGTCTCCTACAAGGATTTTTAAATCTTTCATTGCTTGGTCCTGCCATAGTTTGGCAGTAAAAATGACATTGTAACTTAGATATTTGAGAAGACAGAGATGCTGTACCTGATAATGCAGCAACATCATTGGTGAAAAATGCATTTTAAAAATCCATTATATTAGAATCACGTACTGTTTTCAATAAGATAAAAATAGTCCTTTGTAATATAATTTCAAATGATCTTGAATTCTGAATCATCAAACCATCTAATTGAAGACCATTAAGCATATTGTAGATGCATATGAGTCTGCACTACAGCAATTGTCATCTTTTTACTTAATTGATATCCAGACATGAGATATTTCATACACTGGCACCGACTGAGGAATGTGGAATCCTTTAGGTAGAAAGCTGAGTATTTTAATAGATTCTTATTCATCACCTATAATTACTTATATATTATAACACATATAATATGTACATACTTATTATTTTGATCAATATTTATATGATCCAAAGTAACTATGTTTTTTCTCTCCGTCTTTTCTATAGATGCATTACTGTCTCAGTTCATTTGGGTATGTGACAGAAACTTTCCCACCATAAAAAATTTCTTCCTATACTTCCTAATAATAAATAAATAAGATGTGGGGCATTGCAGTGACCTCCATGGGATCTGCTGGTCCAAGGACCAGAGGAAAAAAAAAGTGGGAGCATTATTCTTAAGATTTGGAGTCTTCTAGCTGGTAACTGCATTCATGAAAGAAATTTCTAACTGATCACCTTTTTGATCACATGACTAATCCACTGGAGCAAGTGCCATCACCTCCCTGGAAACCTGTCCTTTATCTTTCAGGAGGGATTGGACCAGATTCTTTTAAAGTTCCTTTTACAGTTCTATGACTAATTGCTACTCTCTTCTTGTCTCTGAATTCACTTTTATTCCGCATCGACTTCACCATCTAAATCTCTCAACTTACCGTTATAATGACTTCACTGTAAGAAAAAACATCAGTTTGGCAATTGGCCAACATTATAATCAATATTATTTTATAAATTGAACAATATGGACCTGCCAAATCCCTCCTTAAGAGTTTGATTAAGAAATTAGTCATCCAAAATAATCCTTTCTTCAATAAATATGCTATTCCCTATTGTATCACATTCATTTCCTTTAGAAATCAGTGAAATAAACTTTTTTGCAATGTTTATCTTTTATTTGCTTACACCTTTGATTACTGATTACAGTAGGGGATTCTAGTTGAGAGTATTTATATTTAGAGTGACTGAGAGCATTTATATTTAGAGTGGCAACACCACTGGGGATAATTAAGAAGAGCTAATTTCATCCCAAGGGAGTTGGTTTTCTCACATGCCATCTTTATGCGTGTACACGTTAACAACTATATCTTTTAAACTTACCATCCTGCTGTTCCTTAGAGAACTCGATCTGTTAGAAAGAAATTAATCACAAAGAATATTTTAACCAAAAAAAAAAAAAAAAAAATTCTCATTTTAAAGTGTATCCAGCTCATTTCCTGAGTCATCTTCAAAGTAAGCTCCATAAGTAAGCTTACTTTTCAGAGTTCAGGAATAGCTTGGACACTATCAGGTTGAACCACAAAGAAACATGCCTTAGAGATAAGTGATACTTTGGATACTAGGCAGTGCTCTGCATACATCTGGAATAGAGAAGCTCAATTCACTTACCAGCAATCTGGTCAGCACTGAAGGACTGCAGTGGTGAGACAGGGAGAAAGAAAGAAACAACTAGTATTCTTTCAAATGCATTGACAGAAGAATGAATGCTCTCTGTTGTGAGTGTTTTAGGTCATAGTATAAGAAGGTTGCCTTAGGGTAGTTTTGAATCTAGAAACATAGAAAGCTATTGCAAAAGATCATTAGGGAACATCTCTCCATATCTTAATCAATGAATCAATGATTTAACAAATGCTAAATCAAATACTTCCTGGAAAAATATAATAATCTATGGTATGTTTAAGGTATAGCTAACACAGATACACTACATTGCAAAGTAAAAATACACTGCATTAAAATGATTAAGTCTGTTTTTATAAAAGTACACTTTTATATTAGTACATAATATCCAATGCATCAAAAACAGTTTACTTAATTTTAGCTATCGGTATCCTTGGATAGTATTTTAAGGAATAGTATTTTGCTATAGTTGCAGTCTTTCTTTTTTCTAGATCTAGGTATAATAAATCTCATGTGATATGTAAAAGTTGGTGAAGCAGAAAGTACTGCTTTGGGAATACGATGGATTTTTCCAGTTGGCATAATCAGGTCTCATTACCTTCTCTGGTTTTCCACTCACCTCAACAAAAAACAAAAGTAGATTCTAAAGACTCAAATTTGAATATGTTTTCTCCAGTTCTATTCCTTATATGCCTGTCTTCTCAATAAGATCATATCCACTATCTCTATCCTCCTATAAATGACAAATAGTTTTCTCAAAGGACCCACCATGATGGAGTTGCTGGGCTTCAAATAGCGGCAAATGTGAAGAGTGAGGTGAGGGTTGCTCCAGTTCCTGAGTGGGATCCTCTCTTGCAGAGGTTTCCTTTTATTTCTGGGGAAGCTGTGACCTCACAACCAGTATTAGGTTTCAGAGGGAAGTTACCACACCCCTTGGAGAGTTCTTTAGCTTTCTTAGGGCAAAGGGAAAGAGGGATCTGTACCCTGAAGGCTATTTTTAGGAAACTAGAACCTAGGAGTGGACAGCCATAGTGAGACTGAAGTCTGTCAGTACTTTTATGGTCTTTCTTTGCTGAGAAGTACTTTTGGAGTGTCTTCCTTTAAGAAGCTTATTTGTTCAGTGGCAGAGGAGCTTCATATTTCTCTAAGGGCTTGAGTTGACACCTTCTCTTGGTCAATCATAGACTTTGCAAACTTCTAGATAGGCAGTTTTTATATTAATGGAAATTCTTGGGTAGAACTGGCTTGGAGTTTTAAATGACAACTGCTATGGAAGGAACATCCACAGAAGCTTTGCCCTTTATGGTAAAGTTCATATGACGTGGAAAGGCTACACATGCTTCTTTGGGTCACCTGTGTAACAGTTGGGTCTATTCTTGAAATCTATTAAAGTCCTTACTCTTACTTCTCAGAAATATAGAGTTCATCTAAGCTGAGAATGGTTTTGAACTTCGTATTCCACTACTCTCTGTCGATTTCCTGGCATAAACTGTGATTTTATTCCTATATCCCTGTTAACTTTATGCTGGATGGCCAGGCCATATTTTTCTAATTTCTGTAGCTCTTCTGGAGAGAAGAGCTGATAGACCATTTTTGCATTCTTTTTCTTTATTCGTATACTTATGCTTTTAAAATTTTAGCCCAAGTTCTTACTAGAATATGCTGATTATGTTTCTATGGTTTCAAACGTTTTGTGGCTGGTGTTCCAGAGGGCGTGTTAAACTTTCCACAATATTAGAACATGGAGGAAAACAGGGACAATTCCATTCTATGTAGTAACAATCCTAGTTAGGGACCTTAAAGAACTCACAGCAGGGGCTGTGGAACACACGGTTATACATTAGAGTTTTAAAAGTGTATGATCGGTCAGAGTGCTTGGACAGTGCAAACAGTTAACATACTGGGCTGCTAACCAATAGATTGGAGGTACAGTTCCCTTAGAGGTACCTCCAAGAAAGACCTGGTAATCTACTTCTGGAAAACCAGCCATTGAAAACCCTATGGAGCACAGTTTTACTCTGACAAACATGGAGTCACCATGAGTAGAAGTTGGCATCACAGCAACTAGTATGGTATGAGTGATTGGTTGGTGATGGAGTTTCATGGTAACTTATCTGAAAATAGGGGGGCGAATCCCTTCCCAGAGTGTACTTGGAAATGATCAGACCTAACATGTCACTAAAATTCAGACAACATATTTACCATCTTTCTACATGTTTAGAGAAGCTTACAGGCTCAGAGGATCTTGGAGATGAGCAGTAGCTTACGTACTGCTTCAGAAACTGTTTTTGTGGGAGCTGGTCGCAAAAAGCATGATGTCTCTATCTGCTGTTGTAGTTGTTAATGGTCATGGAGTTGATCTGACTTATGATTACCCCATGTGTGCAGAATAGAACCATAGGATTTTCAAGGCTGTGACCTTTTGAAAGCAGATCACCAGGCCCATCTTCTAAGTTTCCTCTGGATGTGTTTCAACCTCCAACCTTTCTGCTAGTTGTCCAGTGTTTAACCATTTGTGCCACTCAAAGCAGATAAATATATTTAGCTTACTCTCAGCCCATTTGAGAAGAAATCAACATTTAAATATATATCACTTTTTGTCCATAGTTAACAAATAGTGAAAAAATGTCATAGAATCTTGAATCTCAAAATGAGAATTAAAATGTTATAGTTTTTAAGTTAATAGTACCAAGATAAATATACTTTCATAAATGAATTGAAATTTTAAGATGTAATTGGGAAACAAAAGTTAGGAGAAAATTTAAAATGCTTTGAATCGTTAGGGAAAAATGGAAGGTAGGTGGAAATTCGGTAACATTTGATAATTTTATTATTGGAGCCTCATGATTTTTGAAGGAGCTCTGGTAGCAGAGTGCCTGAGGCACTTGACTGCTAACCAGACGACTGGAGGTTCAAACCCACCAGCCACTCCTCGGAAGGAAGGTTGGGCAATCCTACTTCCATAGTGATACCGCCTCGGAAACCCAAGGAGAGGTCGCTATGAGTCGGGGTGACTCGACGGCATACAACAACAACAACGATTTTTGATGTACATATTAAAGACATTAAATTAGAGTGTGTTTTCTTTGTGCTCTTTTTAGTCTTTACATTTGTGGAATTCTGTGATTAATTTTGAAATAATCAATTTGGGGTTATTATTGAGAAGATTATATCTTAGGAGCTCTGGTGGCGTAGCGCCTAAGGCATTTGACTGCTAATCAAAAGCCTCCTGGTTCAAACCCATCAGTCACTCCTTTAAAGGAAGATTGGGCAATCTACTTCCATAGATATACTACCTCAGGAACCCGAGGAGGGGTCGTTTTGTGTCAAATCGACAAAATGGCTGGACGGCAGTAAGTTGTTTTTGTTGTTAGAATATACCTTTAGTAGAGCTAGTAATTATTAAATAATACAAAATAAACATGTTAAAGTTACCCTACAAGACAAAATGCCTATTTTCTTCTTAGGTAGAAAAATATGTCTATGAATAGATCTAAAATATTATCAATTTATATAGAATATGTTGGATAAACAGGCAAATCATTTTAAAAGTTGTATTTATGTTCTGAATTAGCTATTCTTAACCATTTGGAGCAATAAGCAACATCACAGTAAATGGAGAAAAGATTGAAGTTATCAAGGATTTCATTTACTTGGATCCACAATCCACACCCATGGAAGCAGCAGTCAGGAAATCAGATGATGTTTTTGCTAAAGAGGCAAGGAGGCCACATCTTCTAACCTCCTCTAACCCCACAAGAGAAAGACAGAATCACCATCAGTAGCCCAAGGCCTGTCCCTGTGAGGCCAGACATGCCACCTCCCTCCATCCCTGACACCAACCGTTCCTCCTGCAGCACCGACAACCTCTCTACTGGGTTTGATAATTCACTGCAGTGGCCACACAGAACTCACAGATTAAGGGGTTCTAATAACACCAGCCTACAATTCAAGTTCAGGAAAAATGCTCAGTTTTTCTCAGCCCGCTGTCTCTCAGCCAACAGTCTCTCTCAGTCTCTCTCCCAGCAGTGCATGTCTCTTGGTGTCTCTCTCTCAGCAATGTGTGTCTCTCAGTGTCTTTCTCAGCAGCACATGTCTCTCAGGAGCACATTTCTCTCAGCAACACGTCTTTCTCAGCCACCAGCCAGAGAGTGAGACCTCTTCTGCCTCTAGGAGGTCTCCTTTTGAGCCTGGCAGAGAGGCCAAACTAACCAGTTCCAACATCAGAATTCCATACGCCTGTGAGAGAGCAAACTTGGCAGAAAATTACTTTGTGCTGCTCCCAACAGAAATACCCCAGGTGGATAACTAACAATCAGGCGCTACTTGGTTGCTCATGGCCAATTCCACCATGGAGTTTACAAAGACTTATCGGTAGAAAAGCCATACCAGGTAATTTACTACACCACAGGCCACCCCCTGACATACTGCATGGCAAATCTGCTTCAAAAGACCTCTTTAAAGTGTTAAAAAGCAAAGATGTCACCTTGAAGATTAAGGGATCCCTGAACCAAGCCATGGTGTTTTTAATCACCACAGATGTATGTTAAGCTGGAGAATGAATAAAGAAGATTGAAGAAGAGTTGATACATGGGAATTATGGTGTTGGCAAAGAATATTGAAACTACCATGGACTGCCAGAAAAATGAATAAATCGGTCTTGGAAGAAGTGCAGCCAGAATGCTCCTTAGAAGCAAGAATGGCTAAATTTCATCTCTCATACTTTGGTCA